ATGAGCAAAAGTTGACTCATATACAGAGTTTAGGCCGTGCTCCCTGGACTATCAATATCACAAATCAATCAGGCGGGCCAGCTCTGCAGTGGGCATGAAACTGGACTCCCTGGTGACAGTGGCAGAGAGGAGGACACTGAACAAACTGCTGGCCATCATGGACGATGCCAGCCACCCTCTGCACACTGTCATCATCGCCCAGAGGAGCCAGTTCAGCGACAGGCTGCTCCTCCCCAGGTGCAAAACCAACAGGACCAAAAATTCCTTTGTCCCCTGAGCCATCAAACTGTTCAAGTCTGAGCTCGGGGGGAGGGAGGAGCAGCAAGCGGGGAGAGGTGGGGAGTGAGGGGTGAGGAGTGAGGACATTGGGGTGAGATAGAGCATCATGCTCTATCACCAGACTGTGTGGGATATTTAGGCACTTTGGCAAATTTTGTTACTGTATCCACTGTTGTTATTATTGTTACTATTGTTGTTGTTACTATTATTGCTGATGTTGTGTTGGTGTTGTGTTGTTGTTTCTAGTACAACAATTTCCCTAAGGTTTGCACCAAAGGGATCAATAGAGTTCTATTCTATTCTATTCTATTCTATGTTGTTCTACAGTTAATGCTAGTCAATAATGATCATATTTAGCAGTGACATTTGGCCATCCCACCCTTCAGTTCAACAAACTATCCATCCATCTATTATCTATACACCGCTTAATCCTCATTAGGGTCTTGGGGGGCTGGAGCCTATCACAGCTGACTCAGGGTGAAGGCAGGGGACACCCTGGACAGGTCACCAGTCTATGTGTTTTTGGACCTTGTGGGAGGAACCTGGAGAACCTGGAGAGAACCCACGCTGCACGGGGAGAACATGCAAACTCCACGCAACTCCCACAGGGATGCGAACCGGCGACCTTCTTGCTGCGAAGCATCAGTGCTACATGTGTTCATAATTATGATGATTAAGTACACACAAAAATTCTTTTAAATAATACGGAAACTGAAAAAATGTACGAGTAATCTTCTTAAAGAGCTGTGTTTACGCTATCAATCATTAAGGGACACTTGTCTTCAGTAAGGCCCAAAGATTTCATATTTTTAGAACCAAACCTTGTTCAACATCAATAAAGTTTACAATTCCAAAGACCTATTTTCTTCAACAAGACCTACGTACTTCACATTATCACAACAAAATCAAGTTAGAAAAGAATAAAACTGACTGCAATTCTCACAGACGCGGGTCCAAAACAGAACATCCCATTTGTCAGACATATTTGAAAGATTAAAATTTAGTCCAAATCTACTGCAACTACCCCCCACAAACTACCAACATGCCACTGATCCACACTGCAGGGGAATATAAACTTCTGCTCCCTTCTGGCGCTTCCTCTGGGTTTTTGAGGTGTTGGTAGTTTCTTGATCTCCTTCTTTCTATGGATGATTCCCTCATTCTTCTCCTTGAAGGTAAAAAAAATTGCTCTTCCATCCAGATGGAGCCAGGGGCTTAACTTAACCCCGGCCTTTTGGTTCCACTAACCCCACTGCCACCATTTTAACAAAAGTGAATCATCCAGGCAGTTCAGAGCTAACTCCATACTAACAGTTTAGCCTCAGATTGTAGCTTTCTAATGCACCAACACATTTGTGAAAGTGTTTTTGATGTCTCAGTAATTGTTCAGACACAACACTCATAAAACCATAAACATGAAACATGTACTTTGAACAGCAAGAAACTGTTTTGTTAACTAAAATGTGCTTACCTGTTACTCCATGTGCTCTTTCTCTTCACTGGGAGAGTAGAATAAATATCTCTGCAAACATGTTTGGTCACATCTTCTCTGGTTCTTTTTTTTTTAAACAAGAGGTGGCCCAACTAACCCACAGGCCCATCTTACCCCATGCTCTCCTATTATAATAAGTCATCCATTTTTTAATGTATTTCTGTAAAACAATTCTTTCATCAGAATCGGACAGCCTCTATTGTCATGGTATGCCAAAACACACAATGAAATGAGCAATGTGACGAGTGTATTTTGCATAAAAACCTGAATCTGAGTAGCCACTGACTAAAGATATTCATTAGATTTAGCTGAATATACCATGTTGGTTGTCTTTTAGTATAAAGTTGCAGAAAATGGCTAAAAAAAATCCTGCACAAGTGCCTCAAAAGTAAAGTTTAATACTGAGCAGTACATAAGTAAACACTTTGAACCACACGCTTTGGTACAAACTCGAGTACATGTTCTTCATAAGTAGTTTCACAGCAGCTTCTCTCACTTTACACCAAAAGTCAAACATTGTACTTTACATTTACTGAATATCTCCGATTACTTGTGCTCATTAAAATAAAAGTTTTATAAGGCTCTATGTTCTCCTCACCAAAAAAGGGCTAAAAAAGTGTGATCTGTTTTATGGGAGAGCTGGATGTTCAGCTGCATCATGAGACACGCTGTCACTGGGACGGTGAAAGAGCGTTACTGGATGCAACACGAGGGCATTGCCTTGTTGCCCTGTC